GACGACACGGTAGTACTAATTCAGCCCCGAGGAAATCTTCACTAGGGCATTTTCCCCCAAGTCCACCTCCACTTCTGGCGTTTTGGGTGACCCATCGAGATGAAGAGTCTCAAATGGACTTTCCTGCCCGGGCGGGCTATGAACCACTATCCTCAGGTCTCAGCCCCCTCGCTCAGCACCTCAGAGGGATGATGGGCAGTGAGCCACTGCTGCCACCGGCACCACCCGGCCGGTGAGCCTTTGCCTGGGGATTTTCTTTACCGACCGGCCGAAAGGTTTCGTGCCCTACCTGTCTTATGGATAAGTTTGCTCTGTTTTCGGTCTTATTTTTGTCCTCATGGACATCCTTCTTTCCCAAGGAAAAGGGGCCTCGGCTCGGGGAGAGAGTCAATTCCTGAGGCCAGACAATCCATAGGAGGAACTTTCTGCCACAGTGTGGTGTGGTGTGGTGTGGTGTGGTGTGGTGTGGTGTGGTGTGGTGTGGCAGCTCAGATATCACAAGGACTGCCATCTCTCGTGTGCAGGATACCCGGGGAGGGGAACTGCGGGGTGGGGGTGAGCAGAGGCATTTTCTCCTTCCGGAAACCAGATGATGATTGAATAAAATTAGCCATCCATCCTTGAGACATTCTCAAGGAGGTGGGCTGGGAATGTGTCTGGGTTGGTAGACAGCTTCCCCTAAAAACTCGGGCCTAAATGGCGGCGGCGGCATCCATCTTGTTCACAGACCGAGTGTCCACGTTGAAAATGAGAGTCTCTTCTGGGACGCTGGTTCCTGCTCCCTCCTTCCTTCTTCCAAGGAAGAAGTTGCCGCTGGCGGGTGGGTTCCAGGCTGGCAAGCAGAGTAAGCAGAGCCCCGCTGGAGTCCACAAGGAAAAGCAAGACCGAGGGGAGGCGGGGAGGCGGGGAGGCGGGGAGGCGGGGAGGCGGGGAGGGGGGACACAGAGACAGACAGGAGACAGAGAGGCAGAGAGAAAGAGACAGAGACAGAGACAGAGACAGAGACAGAGAGAGACAGAGACCCAGCGACCGACGGAAAGACACACAGGGGAAGAGATGGAGGGGGAGCGAGAGATCCACAAATCTAACTACACCAACTGAATAATCAGACAGACAGACAGACAGACAGACAGACAGACAGACAGACAGACACACACACACACACACACACACACACACACACACACACACACACACACACCACACCGACACACAGGCAGACAGAGGGAGAGATGGGGAGTATAACTAGATCACCTGAATCAACAAACAGGAACAGGCACACATGCCCCCGCCACACACACACACACACACACACACACACACACACACAGAGGCAAAGACAAGAGACCGACACACAGACAGGCAGAGAGGGGGAGACATGGAGGGGGAGCCCTAGAGACCCATCAGTGTGACTGACTAGATCACCTGAATAAATTTATTCCTTCCCTGCCCTGCCCTCATGTATGAAGGTAGACGATTGGTATGGAGTTCTTCTTGTCACCAAACACAGGTGAGGGCTAGTGACTTTTTACCCTTCCATGTAGGGACTCTTCCCTTAGGACCCTTGATTTTGATCATTGAATGAGAATTTCTGGAGGAGTCACTCTGGTGGAGTTTTATGGAGTAAGCAATCAGGCAACCAGACAACCATACAACCCGACCACAAAAAAAAAAAAAAAAAAAGCAGACACAGACAGACAGACAGACAGACAGACAGACAGACAGACAGACAGAGAGACCCACACAGCTCCTGACTTCATGGGTGTTTTCAGGGTTAAAGTGGGGGGTCGGGGGGAATGTGGCAACTGAATTATGCACAGATAGTTGTTTTATCTTTGCTCCAATCTCAACTCTAGATGTTTGGGGTATTTCTTTACAGATAAGATAAACAGATCATTAACGCTTGTTTTCTTTCTTTCTTTCTTTCTTTCTTTCTTTCTTTCTTTCTTTCTTTCTTTCTTTCTTTCTTTCTTTCTTTCTTTCTTTCTTTCTTTCTTTCTTTCTTTCTTTGTGTGCCCCCCCTCTCCTTTTTCTCTTTTTTATGGGGGGGGGAGGTGGGCAATCCTGGGACTCGAAGTCAAGGCACTGTCACTCAGCGACTCAGCTTTTTTGGCTCAATTCTAGCAGTCTATCACTTGAACCAGAGCTCCACTTTTGGCTTTATCTGTCTATGTACTATGTACGTGGTGTGTGTGTGTGTGTGTGTGTGTGTGTGTGTGTGTGTGTGTGTGTGTAATATATATTATATATATTCATTTTATACATAGACGTATATATGTATAAACACACATCTATTCGTTTATTTATACACACGTGTATATATACGTGCACATATATATTTATACACATATGTGTATATATACATGCACACATATATTTATACACATACATATATACTGTGATACGCACGCGCGCACACACACACACACACACACACACACACACACACACATTGCCTTATTATTTTCATGATTTTTGTTTTTTTTTGGTTTTGTTTTGTTTTTTGGTTTGGTTTTTCCCGGGACGTGGGGCTTGAACCCTGGCTGGCCCTGGACACTGTCCCCCAACTCTTCAGCTCAAGCCTAGGGCGCTACTACTTGAGCCACAGTACCACTTCCGGTTTTCTGAGTGGCTTATTGGAGATAAGAGTCTCACGGTCTTTCGTGCCCAGGCTGGCTTTGAACCGAGATCCTCAGATCTCAGCTTCCGGAGCAGCTAGGATTACAGGCGCGAGCCACCAGCGCCCAGCTATTTTCATGTTTTTGTGTGTGTGTGTGTCGGGTGTGAGGCTTGAACTCTGGGGCTGGGTGCTGTCTCTCTCTCTCTCTCTCTCTCTCTCTCTCTCTCTCTCTCTCTCTCTGTGTGCTCTTCACCTTCCCAGCCCTCCCCCACTTGTTTTGCCAGTCTAGGGGCTGGCAAAAGAAGAAGAAAGAGAGATTGAGTAAAATTAGCCATCCATCCTTCAGCCATCCTCCTTGAGACATTCTCAATGAAGTGGGCTGGGAATGTGTCTGGGTGGTAGACAGCTTCCCTAAAAACTCGGGCCTAAATGGCAGCAGCGGCATCCATCTTGTTTACAGACCGAGTGTCCACGAGCTCATGTGGGCTTTCATGTTCTCCGTGGGTTGACACGGCCGGCCGGCGGGGGGGGGCGAGCGGACGAGCGAGCGGGGTGGGGTGTGCGATTCATTGGAGATAAGACACCGGTTCCTGCTCCCTCCTTCCTTCAGGGACACCAAGGAAGAAGTTGCCGCTGGCGGGTGGGTTCCAGGCTGGCAAGCAGAGTAAGCAGAGCCCCGCTGGGACTGAAATACATTTCTTCCTGGAGTCCACAACGAAAAGCAAGCGGGGGGGGGGGTGGGGGGGGGGTGGGCGGAGGGGAGAGGACAGAGAGACAGAGAGGAGAGACAGACAGAGACAGAGACAAAGAGGGACAGACACACAGACAGAGACAGAGACCCAGAGACCGACAGAAAGACACACAGGGAAAGAGCTGCAGGGGGAACGAGAGATCCACAAGTCCAACTAGATTCCCCTGAATCAACAAACAGACGGATGGACGGACGGACGGACACACACACACACACACACACACACACACACACACACACGGAGACGGACACACGCGGAGACAGACAGACAGAGGGACACATGGAGGGGGAGCCCTAGAGACCCATTAGTGTGACTGACTAGATCACCTGAATAAATTATTCCTTCCCTGCCCTGCCCTCATGTATTGAGGTAGACTATTGGTATGGAGTTCTTCTTGTCACCAAACACAGGTGAGGGCTAGTGACTTTTTACCTTTCCATGTACGGACTCTTCCCTTAGGACTCTTGATCTTGATTTCAATCATTGAATAAGAATTTCTGGAGGAATCAGAAAGAATGACATTTCCCCATTTGTTAGGAAATGGAAAGGCTTGGAAAAAATTATATTAAGTGAAGTAAGCCAGGCCCAAAGAAACATAGGTCCCATGGTTTCCCTTATTTGCAATATCTAGTATATGTATGGGTCAAGTGGAAAAGGTCAGATAATGTGATGTTAGGAAAACGAACCCTTGAATATGTATTTTAATGGTTTTTTTTTTCATGCACGTGTTTCTAACGCATTTATAGGATTGTTTCTTTTTTGCTTTGTATGTCCCCCCCCCCCCACAGTGTAACCCCCGCTTTCACTATATTTGATGTCAGTATAACTTATGGGGGAGATGGGGACAAACAAGTCGTTTAAGGATTCAGGTGGACCTGTTGCAACAATGAGAAGTACAAAATGTCGTGTGAAAAAGGAGATTTACGGTGGGGGGGCGGGGAAGGGGGAAGGATTGGGTTGGGGGGAGGGGGGTGGCTGGGAAGGGAGATGAAGTGTAAACAAAGGAGGAGGCTGCAATGCTTGGTAGGAAATGTGTGCATTATCCTGCCCATGTAGTTGTAACCCCTCTGTACAGTATGTTCTCAAATAAAATAAAATAAAATTTAAAAAAAAAAAAAGAATTTATGGAGTAAGCAAGCAGGCAACCAGGCAACCAGACAACCAGTCCAAAAAAAAAAAAAGGCAGACACAGTCAGACAGACAGAGAGACCCACACAGCTCCTTGACTTCATGGGTGTTTTCAAGGTTAAAGCGGGGGGGGGGGGGGGGGGAAATGTGGCAGCTGAGTTATGTACAGATAGTTAGTTGTTTTATCTTTGCCCCAACCTGAATTTCTAGATGTTTGGGGCATTTCTTTACAGGTAAGAGAAAGAGGTCACTGACTCTTCCTTCCTTCCTTCCTTTTTTCTTTCCTTTCTTTCTTTTTTCCCCCACCATCTCTCTCTCTCTCTCTCTCTCTCTCTCTCTCTCTCTCTCTCTCTCTCTCCTTTTTCTCTATTTTTTTGGAGGGGTGGGCAATCCTGGGTCTTGAAGTGAGGGCCTGAGTACTGTCACTCAGACACTCAGCTTTTTCGGCTCAAGTCTAGCACTGTACCATTTGAGCCACAGCGCTACTTATGTCTATGTAC